GACAGCTCCAGGGTTTGAATTGAGATGGGCTATGGAATGAGACCCAGTTAGAGCCCTTTCCCAACACACAGACGGGATCTTCAACTTTGGGGGAATCCGGAGGTGCTTTGGGGGACATAACTCTGGACACGTTTCCCAGGAGCAGCTGTCTTCCTCTCGGGCTCTCAGGTGCACGCAGGTAATAATTGTCCTATTATGACCCACATCATTGCCCTGATCTCTAGAGCGAGATGCACCCTTAGCCCTCCCATAACCCCCACTCATACTGTTGCTCCCTAGCTGGACTGGCATCTCTGTGGGCAGGGCTCAGTGTGCCTGGCTCCCCTCTGAATCTCCAGTGCCTACCTTAGGCTGACACATAGTAGGTGCTTAATGACTCTTTGAATGAATGAATGAATGAATGAATAAATGAGCCCTCTGCTTGCTGCTAATGAAGAAGAGTGTTGAATAAAGAGATAGTGGGGAAAAAAAGGGGGGAAGCTTTTAAAACCCCCAACTGGCCTAACCTGGCATAGCATGGCTTAGAAAAGAACTGAGAAGGGAAAAAAAAAAAAAATCCCTTGAGGTCATTTTCAGTCCTGGCTAAAAGAAGCCTGTCCCCAGCCTCATCAAAGATTCCCATTGTGTGACGGGATGCCTGTTGGAGTGTTGGGGTGTGAGGCTTGGTGGCTCACGAGGAGAGTTGCCAGAGGTACAGACAAGGAGATTGTGATGAGAAGACCAGCCAGCTCCAGATGTGATCGTACCAGTCACTGGTGTTGCCACCAATCTTCCTTGTGTACTCTTGGGTTGAGGCACAGAGGGCTGCCCTTGAAATGCAGACATTATCCTGTAAGGCAACCTCATATGGACTTAGGAGATGGGTCTGGTGAATTCCGTGATGATCCACAAAAGGCATCCTGGTGCTCCGAATGCAGGAGAAAGGGGTCCCCAAAGGGAATTCGAGGAGGAGAGGAGTAGCTAACCAAACAGGTTCATGGGAAGGATATTTAGAAAGGAAAGCTGCTGCTGCACTGGCAGGATAGGTTCCTGCACTTGATTTAGTTCCATTTTCGACAGCGTCTCTGGGTTGATAGAGGAGGAAAGTGCAGTGGACATGTTATGCAGTTTCAGCAAAACATGACAAAACACCCAGCAAGATTTGTATGGACAATATGGTGAAGGAGTGCCTGGGTGGCACAGTCAGTTAAGCATCTGTCTCCTGGCTCCAGCTCAGGTCAGGATCTCAGAGTCATGAGATCAAGCCCCAAGATGGGCTCCCCACTCAGACTCAGCATGGAGTCTGCTTGAGTTTTTCTCTCTCCTTCTCCTCTGCCCCTCCTGCTCATGTGCTCTCTCTTTCAAATAAATAAATAAAATCTTAAAAAAGAAAAGGAAAGGAAAGAAGCAAAGGGAAGAGGAGAAGAGAGGAGAGGATAGACAAAAGAAAAGAGAAAGAAGAGAAAAGAAAAGAAAAAAAGAAGAGATGGTAAAATGCAGACTGGATGAGAATAAGGCTGGCTGGATCTGAAATTGGTGAGCAATTCAATCCAAAGAGTGAGTAATGGCCTGATAATGTCTAGAGAGTTGTTTCTGAGCTTTAACTGTTTTCATCAGTGAGTTTTATGAAGACAGACAATATCAGTGTTTTAAGTGAAAATAAATCAGCAGGGATAGCCAGTGCCACAGACGACAGACTCAGGATTCAACACACCATCAACCACCTCGAATATTGGCTGAAACTGGTGACATGAACCCTACCACAGGAAAAAGAAAGGGTAAAGTCTTAGATTTTAGTCTCCAAAAATAAATCACAGAAGAACAGAATGGAGGAGACTCAGGTTGGCATGGATTCATATGGAGAAAAGATCAGAGGATTGAGAATAACCAGAGAGTAAGCGGAGGTGGAAGACTGAATGAGCAAAGTTCTGAAGAACATGAGAAATGGCTACAAAAAGAGGATGTGTTGCTTGGAAAAGAAAGCTGGAGAAATGTGAGGGCTCTTTTCAAATACTGAAAGGGCCATTTGTCAAAAAGAAGGACATGTTGCAGAAGGAAGTCCAAGTGACAAGGAGATAGACTTGCTCAACAAGAGAACGGAGCACCTCCTAGCAATCGCAGCTCTTTAACAATGACCCAGGCTGTCTTGTGAAGTAGTGAGCTCCCTGTTGGGGAGTAAGACCTGGTCAAAGTCATCTGCGGACAGATATTTAGCAGAAAGGATTCCGGAGTGTGCAATAAATTGAGCTAGATGATTTCTTGGGTGCCCTCCATCCAGTCTGCGCCCTCTGATTCTAGGAGCACCAGAACCCTTTATTTCCAGCCCCTAATTATATAGAGCATCAAAAGCTGCAAGAGCCCACCTTGATGAGGACACACACTGCTAGGAAATAATAAATCACAAAAATAAGGCCCAAGTGGACAGGAGGTTTTGTGCAAGGAATTTGGGGGCAGATGTAGCGCTGTGTGGATAAGGATACCTATGGAACGGGTTCGAAATGACAGGCAGCCAAGGAGGCAACTCCACAGTCCACTATGGGAAGATCTCAGTGGGAAGGTGGCCTCACATCCTCAATGACTTCTAAAGTACCTTTTGATTCTGAGCCACTTTTTTTTTTTTTTAATCCCTTTCCCTGTCTGGGTCTTGGCGAGGACACACATCATTAGGTCGCTGAGTTTTCTTTGTGAATCACTCATAGAACAAGCAGTTGCTCTGCCATGACATAAAATATTTTTCCACTTAAAGACACAAAAGAATTTGTTGTGAACACAGAGAACCCTGACATGCTGTCCTCTTGCCAACAGTTCCAGAAACTGTTTGAAAGAGAGACTCAGAGAACGGACGAGAGAGGAGAGAAAGGGGTGTTCCCGTACTCTTCACGCAGAAGGCTCCTCTGGGCAGGGCTTATTCGATCCGTCTGGCCAGTCTCATGAAACATTCTATTTTGTACCTTCTGGGGCCGTTGAAGAGGCAGAGTGGAGATTTATAACAACAGTTGTTCATTCCAGCCCAACTGGTTTGGCACAGGGAGGAGCTATGTTTTTCAGAACAGCTTTTCAACATTCCTACATGAGTTGAAATGCATAAAAATTTCAGTTTGGAAACAACCAGATGTTTTTGTCAGGGAAGAAATAGATGACCTAAAGGAGACCGGGAGGGTAAGCTTGGGGCCGGGAGCAAAATGGTACTGCATGGAGCCCGTGTCTGTCTCACATCTCCTACCAGCCACTCACCGTGATTAGCCTACTTGTACCAATGCCAGACCCACTCAGCATTTTCCTTCCTAGGGATCCCACTTGAGCTGCGATGCTGCTGAAAGTCTGGGAGTCGAAGAAGCAGCTCACTGTCTTCCCATCACAGACAGCAATGGGGGAGGACGGATGGTGGGGTGCAGAACCCCCCAAGGCAGAACTGGCCCCCATAGAGCAGATACACAACAGGCTGCACAAGGTGGGGGAAATAACACTGAGCGTAGAAATGGGGCTCCTGAGTTTCTCAGCCACTGATTTTGTCATTCCAGCCTCGCCATCCGTAAAACGAGGGGCTTGGAACGGATGACCCCCTAGCAGTTTTTTAGCCCTCTGACTCAAGATATCTCGATTTCCTCTCTCCTGTAAAAACAGATGCTCCATTGAAACTGGTCATGAGGAAATGACTTTGCCATTACGGATTAGAGGATAAAAAAAAGGAAAGGTCTTTTTCAAGTTAGCATTTCCTAATTTGATAGGCATCACGACTTTGGTAGACTCATTAAATCAAATCTACATTATAATAACCATAGTCACAGATTTTTCAAAGTTGTCTCGATTTCAGATATTCTGACCTGCTGTCTTACCATGAGTTCTGAGTGTTAGGAATCTCTGGTCAGGTACTTATAAAGGCTTGTGGGAAAATGGAGAGAGGCAGGAGGGCACAGAATTCTTCCTATGACCCTTTTTATCCTGAGCATAAGATTTTTTTTTGTTGTTAGCCCTTCATGTCTTTCTGATAAGTGTTTTTGGGGTTCTTTAGCAAGCAAAGCCCAAGAGTCATACACCTCCTCCACCCCATCTCCAGGAGTTTGGAGTCCTCAGCAATGGGGCTAAGACACTGAGTTACACCATGGATCGATCTGCTGCTACAGCCAAGGACCAAGAGCTCCGGGCCTCCTAACTGATGCTCCTTGGTGGTCTGGCACCTGCTCCCATTTTTCCACTCTTTCTACCACTTTCCTCTGTTTTACAAAATCTTGCTTGGTGGAAGAGGAAAATGGACTTTGGAAAGTGGAAACACCTGAGAATGACTTGGATGGAGAGCTCTGGAGGTGCCTATCTTCATGTGGACCTGCCATATGCCACCCTGGTCTGACTTCTAGAGCCACATGTCAGACTCCAGCACTGCTCTGATGAGCCCCAGCTTCCCAGGCAGCTCCCCATGCTTTCCAAGTGCTACTAGCACCTGGGTGATTTGTTTCACATTACTCTTATAAAGTTGCTGCCTCTCCTACAGCCGCGTCAGCATGCCTCCCTCTTCTTCGGAGAGAGCCAAGAGCAACTATTAAAAATGTGTTTGAAATTACACATTGCTCGCTCTCCTTGACAGAGGAGCTTTGCAAAGCTCGTTAAGAGAGCGGGAGAAAATTCCACGGCACATTTCTGGGTTTATGGTTATTATTTTGCATGTGCTGCTGAGCTAATAGAATGTGACTTCGGACATCCATGATCCAAGAGAAAATGGCCGCCTAAGTCCAGAGGCTTTGCTACCAGAACAGCAGAGATGGCTACCATTTTGGCCATTCACCCCCCTTTGCTCTACTTGCAGACGCCGTGGTGAAAGAGATGAGAGCCAAGAAGACAAAGATGAAGAAGGAAGGAATAAATTAAGCGGATTTTGGAATGCATCCTCTCTCTTCCCTCCCCCTTTGTGTTCCTCCCCCCCCCCCCCCCCCCCGTCCTTTCCCCTTTCAAAGGTTGGATGGGCTGATTTAAGCTTATTTTACAGTTTTTCTCTAACTCTGTGAAACTGAGCTCTACCAGAGCTGGACTCTGAGACTTGTAAATAATCTCCTAGAGGAGCCTCACTAAGTGGAAGCAGCCTGTTCAGTTCAATTTTCTCCTCCGGTTACCATCGATGACCTCCAGACATCTCAATTTCTTACATAATTCTCGAGCGAGCAAAGCCACCGCTCCATTGCCTCTGTTGGAAAGAATGTTATGCTTGACCTTCTCCCTTGCTGGTGTGTGAGCATGACAACGTGCGAACCAGCCCCTCTCAGATCAGGAACCACCACCCTGAAACTCCAGATACAGACCTCACTGTTTTATATCTTCTCCAGAAGAGGTGAATGCCTGGTGAATGTATTGCTAAACAGACACATTGGAAGTGAAGTTCTCTACCACCTCGCTGAAACTGATCTTTTCCTATAAAAACAATGCAGTCCAGTGACATTTCCGTCAAGCAAAATGTGAAACAACACCATTTGACCTTAGGCCATGTAAATAACTTTAACAAGCCAAAGCTAAAACATACTGAGTCCATCTAACAAGAAACATATATGGAAGACTCTAGCATGTGGGAGACTTCCATAGAATTTTTTAAATCCATTAAAAATGGCAACTGAGCTGCTCAAAAATATCTGATTTCCAGGGTGATAAATTTCTGAAGCAAAGGATGGAGGGCTTATTCCTAGTGCTATGAATATAACCTCATCTGGAACCAAGAGTTTCAAGAACGTCTGTCATTCCTTTCTTCCTATTTACCTGTGCTCTCGGTTCTTAATTTGAGATACCGGGTTCCCCTACCATGTGACGAGAGAGCATTCCTAGGAAACCCTTCCTAAGTTGAAATGGCATAACGCGAAGAAGCAGCTACCATTCATTTACGTGGAAATGTTTTTGAGCATCCCCACACCCCAAAAATGACCTCTTTTAGGCTTTACTTATACCTTAGGACACATCTTGCTAACGGATGCACAAGATAAATTGAAGTAGAGCACAGATGTTCACAGACCCAGGTCGAAGTGGTGGTGGCTTAGTGCAGAGATGCAGAGTGGAGTTCCTGGGGAAGGGGATCTGTGGGCCCTGCGCTGTCTCCATCACGGGCTCCCTGTCAAACACACACTGAATGCTGTTTTTGTCTTTCTTCAGAAAAGCAGAAATCCTGTCCAGGTTTCTGTCATTTAGGAGAAACAGATAATAATATAGGTCCTCCATAATAGCGAAGTGGCCTAATGCTCAATTTCCAAAAGCGGAAGAAGCCCTTAGCATTGTTATATAAGCCAGCTCTCCCCCAAATGCTGAACCCCATAGTTTTCCTTCAATTAGACTGAATTCAGGTCCTCTCATTGTGAAAACTGGAAGAGAAAGAAAATATTCTTATCTTCTTAGATCAACTAGATCTCTTGATAAAACAAATACTAAACTCTTCACAGGACATGATACAATCAACACGAAAAGGATTCATCACTCTGCAGAATTTCAAGCACAAACTTCAGGTCAGAGGGTTAAAAAAACAATTTTCAAAGAACAATTCCAAAACTACATCCATCTGTCTAAAAAGACCTCACTTCCAAAACCATGTTGTAAGCTTTTTGTTTCCCTGGGTATGTTTTTCTTTCCATCTCAACTTGTACTTAAAGCAAGGACCAATCCTTACTCACAAGAATATCTCAGAAAAAATTTTTGTCCCAGGATATTTTTCTCTTCTTGATTTCCAAATACTCTTACCCACAAAGCATGATCTTTTTGTTTGTAATAATCACTGCCTACAAAGATGTGACCCTTTTACCTGAAAATATGTCTTTCTCGGATTAACATCAACATTTTATTCAATTAATCATTCCAAGTTCACAGGCTTTCAACAATCATCATCCTTCCACTGCTTCTGTGGAGGAGTTAGAGCTCAGCATGCATCCCCGTAAGCCCCTGGAAGGGCCATTTGCCCTGTTGTATTTAAGAGGCACATGGGGAACTCAGTGTCCTAAGAGCCTGGGGCCATCTGGTACATGGCACACAGCACCTTGCTCTGTCCAGCTGGAGGGTGGCAGTAGGGTGATGAGGAACTCATGCTGGAACTTGGACTGCTGCTCTGGGCAAGTGGCATCTTCTAACTGGCCATAACTGAAATCCCTCTGATACAGAACAGAAAGTCCCTTCCTTGACTTGTGCGTGTCATCAATGCACGGAGGGCAGTACTGGGTCACCTTCTCTTTGGGGTAGAGACAGCTGAAAGGAAGACTCACCCCCCCCCCAAGAGTTGCACCCTGAGAATGAAGTAAGGAGCAGCTCGTTTTCCCAGGTGGGAGCATCTGAAACCTCATGCATCTCTTAAGTCTCTAGGCTCCGTTGCTTTTACTGCAGCTCTACCCTGGGGAAGGTAAAAAGGTGCAAGGACCTTGCTGAGCTTCAGATCGCTCTGACCACCACCATTTTCAGGAGCTGATTTAGGTAAAGAGGAAAAGCAGGGCCCCATCAGTTAAGTATCTGCCTTCGACTCAGGTCATGATTCCAGGACCCTGGGCTCCTGCTCATTGTAGGGCTCCCTGCTTAGCTGAGAGTCTGCTTTTCCCTCTCCCTCTGCTCCTCCCCACTCCACTGGTGTGCTCGCTCACTCTCAAATAAATAAAATCTGTAAAAAATAAATAAATAGGAAAGCTACAGAAGAAATTTTCTTTGAAACGTACACAGAATATCAGGAGAAACAAAAAGGTGCAGGGCAGAGCCTGGCCAGGTTCTCTGGTTTGTTAACTTTTTGAAAGTCGGTGGCTCGGGCTGCTCATGGGTGACAAGGGATGGCTGGGAGGCACAGTGCTGAGCCATCTTCAGAAGAACGAGGAGCAGCTCCACGCCAATCACACATGCAGGAAATCATCACTGTCTGACAAACAGAAAAGAAAAGACACTTTTGAAGCACCTGGGTTGGGGTGCCTGGGTGGCTCAGTGGTTGAGCATCTGCCTTTGGCTTGGGTCTTGATCCCAGGATCAAGTCCCACACTGGGCTCCTCACAGGGAGCCTGCTTCTCCCTCTGCCTGTGTCTCTGCCTCTCTCTGTGTCTCTCATGAATAAATAAATAGAATCTTTTAAAGAAAAAAAGAAAGCAAGCATCTGGGTTGGAAACATAGACAACTGGGGGGTGGGGTTGAGGGAAAGCAAATGTAGGTTGAAAAAAAATCAGTGTGTTCTGTGAAGAGAGTTTAATACTTCTCAAAAAAAAAAAACAAAGAGGAGAGAAAGAGAAAGAAAAAAAGATAAGGGGGAAAAACAGTGGATTCAGATATAAAAAGACTTGTGAACTGAGGTCTCCTGGCCTTAGAGAGGCTCCCTTGGGCAGCCACTCACTCGTGTGTGACCGCCCGTCTTTCACTCTGTTATCCTCTGAGAGCCAGGCTAATTCCAAATTAACACCGTATTATCAAGTGGAAAACTCTTCTCACTCTTCAGATTGTATCACCTCCCCAGGGAAGCCTCCTGGATCCCCCCATGAGACCAGTCTCCTGTTCAACTTAGCCTGGATGTGGGTGACCCATCCACTTCCTGTCTCCTGCACCCATCTGCAAAGCCACATGGAGGCGGGGTCGGTCCTCACCATTGACCCTCTGCCACCAGCACAGTGCCTGACACATACATTCATTCATTCATTCATTCATTCATTCATTCACCCATTCATTCACTCAACAGTGATCACCATGCTCCTTCTATGTAACGGGATCTGTGCAGGACACTGGGATTCTGTGTAGCATGGGACAGAACAAGGCTTCTTGGCTCTCATGGTGTTTGAAGTCAGGGTTGGGGCCTGAGGGTGGACGCAGGAGGCCAAACGAGAAGTAAACTATTAAAGGAACAAGACGGCTTCAGACACTGAAATTCCATGAAGAAAGTGAAAAAGGTGCTATGTTTCTGGACACAGTGCTGGTGGGGGAGGAGGGAGTTGTCAGAGACGCTGTGGAGGGGCGATGTGGGAGCAGAGACAGAAGTCCCAGAAAGTGGCACGCTCGGCGAAGACCATGGCGACAGAACACTTGGCACGGCACCTATGCCCTCACAGAGCAGAAGGCCGGGCGCATTCATGGAAGAGAAAGAAAACCCGAGTGGCTGGAGCACCATGGGGCCTGGGGGATGGGCAGGGGACCCGGTGGGAAGAGCGGCCTGGCAAACTATGCAGGCCGCACGGGCCACAGCAAGCAGGTGGCCTTTTGGCCTCAGCTCATGGGAAATCCCTGGAGAGGTGTAAGCAAGCGAGACATTTTTAAGGTGCCTGATTTCATTGGCACCGTAAAAAACTCTTACTGACTCTTGCATTATGGGCTTTATGAGACTTTTGTAATGAAAACGAGGGATGTCCAAGTTTGCAGATTGAAAAATCACAGCAGCAAGCTCCCTGCTATGCTTAGTAGAGGGTCTTCAAAACAGCTCTTCCAGGCGATTGCTTCATTTAGGGGGACCCTGGGAGCAAGTTGGGCAGAAATCCTGGTGGTCAGAGCAATCCTTCAGAAACCTGGAGCCCAGACTTGATGACACTGGCCCAGGCAGTTGAGAGTATCCTCCATGCAGCTTTACTGAAGCTAAGGACAGAAAATGAGGGGGGAGGAGGAGGAGAAGGAGGAGGAGGAAGCAGATGGCTTCTTTAGTTGGGGTTGCTTGATATACTCCCTTACCGCGAGACTAAATTTACCAACAAAATTTAGTTATTTTCGTCAGCAAGCAAACTGATCTCAACTCCGTTCACCTTGCAGGGTTGGGAGAACAGCCATAGTAAGTGCTATAGACCCTTGCAGCGTTACCCCCAAAGTACCCTGACTCTGAGGGGTGAGTGATGGAGACCCTGGGAAAGCAGCCTCTTCACCGGACGCTAAGACTATGTCAAGAGTTCTGTGGATTTAACTTCTCATCCCATGATACACCTGGGTTTGCTTTAAAATATAGATAATAATGTTTTAAAATATTTTATCAATTAAGTTTTTTTAAAGATTTCATTTATTTATTCATGAGAGACACACAGAGAGAGGCAAAGACACAGGCAGAGGGAGAAGCAGATGTAACAGGGAGCCTGACGTGGGGCTTGATCCCAGGAGCCTGGGATGGTGACCTGAGCCAAAGGCAGACATTCAACCACTGAGCCACCCAAGTGCCCCTAACAATTATTTGGCTTCTCCTTCACAATTTTCTGGGAAATACAGGATCAGGTCAGGATCAGGAGGTCTTGGGGGACCTGACACATTGCTGCCGTGCCCTGGGAAGCCTGATCCCTGGCATGAGAAATAAGGTTCTAGGCCCAACAGCACCACCACTAGCAGCCCACACCCCGAGAATCAGGTCCACACACCAGAAAAGTAGTAGGTAGATGGACTCTGGGTGGAAAGGAGGGAGCCAGGAAAGGAAGAGCTGAGAGTCCCACCCAGGTTCCAAAATATGCCTGGATTTTCAGATGGTTCAAGCCTTTCATTACACCCCTCTCTTCAGGGTGAACCCCCGTACTTCCCTCAGGACACTTGGGGCCTGGGCTGATCCCAGGTTTTGTAACGGCTGCTCCACCCATTAGATCAACCTTTCTACTTGCTTCTGAAGAAATGCCGTGAGCTGTGCATCAGCAAAAGGAACCAAAGGGTCCTCCCACATCATCCTACATCAGTTTGGATGAATTGCCGGTGAAGTTCATGTCCCTCTATCTGTTTTGCATAATCAATGCAGTTTTTCACTTGCTGAGCCAACACGACAGTCCCAGCCAAATCAGCCATCCACTGTTATCTTTTTAGAATAAACTTCAAATAATGAAGTACTCTTGTTTTTCTAAAATGTCTTGAAAAGGTTATTTCCAGGCTGACACTCCACTTGCCAGCTTTTACTTAGAAACACATTTTTTTATACATTCACTTCAATTCTCTAGAAGAAACAAGGGCCAAGAAAGAGTAAATAAAGCAGTGGCCGAGGTTACTACCCATCCATCAATCCCGGAGCCCTGATGAAGCCGGAGCCCTGCAAACACAGCCTGGGAGGCAGTGGCACTGGCCAGACCCTCTTTCAAAAGGGACCCTTGTTGCCCATGAGGGCTTAGAGTTGAAAAGGAAAGCTTTTGAAAGCCATCAGAAAGTGAAAAGCAACCTAAGTGCATCTGTGGAGTGTCAGGATCCCTAATTAGGGATCATAAATCTTTTTGCAACGGAGCAAAAATAAATAAGCTCGCGCGAGCACAAATCTAAAGGCAGCAGGCATACACACGCTCCAAGTGTCAGCTTTAATTTATTTCTCCACTTGGAAAGGGGAGACTTTGAAAGCTGGCTGCCAGTCTGGAGGGAGCCTCCCTGACTCTTCTTCTGGCCCAGACAAAGGTTTGAATGTTGCCGGGAGAAGTCCAAAGCATAACACAGGAAGCTTTTGACTCCTTACATTGAAAAGGAGCTCTTTGCAGCAGGGGCTTGGGGGAGAAAAGAGGAGAACAAACCTCCTCTATAGTCATCTCTTTTGTATGATCCCAAATGCTTGGCACGTTAAAACCAAATACCAACAAACAAACAAAAGAACAGTCTGGCTTACAGAATTCTGCTGGAAACATCTGGAGGGGGTTTCGGAAAAATATTCACAAACCATTTTAGCTGCATTAAGAACTTTGCTAGGGCAACGAAGATATGTCTATAAATATGTACATATGTATTCGCACAACTCAGAGTGTACACGATCATTTCCCTTGTGAATGGAAACAGCGACGTTATAGCATTAAAATCAGAGAGGATCAATAGGAATTTCCTGAGAGCCCCATGCGGAAAGAGGTCAATGAGAAAGGTACCTGTGGAACTGATCCCTTGTCATTAGACTCAGCAGCATGGAAATAAACTTTTCCCCTCTCTTTCTGCTGTTGCTCACCTTAAGGCATCCGAACAGAAAGCTTCCAATTAGCAAAGTAAAAGAGCCACTCCGGGAAAATTCTGGTGCCCTGGGAAGATTTATCCGAAGCTGCCTCTCGGCAGCAGAACCAAGTTAAGAAGTTTATGATCTGAGTCAACGTTGTGCGTACAAGCTGTCTGTCTGTCGGTCATACAGACTCCGGGGGTCACCCCTGAGCTTTTGCTTCAGTTTCCCATGTCTATAAAGTACAAAAAGACCTCTCCTAGTGAATCATTTTGATGTTTAAGATCAAACGAGTTAAGATATTAAAACATATTTAAAGTATGAAGTGCTTTAAGCATATAAGAAAAGTCTTGTTCCCAAACTATGTTTAGGCAGCTCAAGGAGAGGGTAGAGGGTAGAGGGCACAGGATGGCAGGCTTCTCCAGTTTCTCCAGAAGGCCAGTACGGGTTAGGAGGTAGCATATGAAGAAAGGGGCTGAGGACCCTGTTTGCATTTTCATGCTGCTCTGGTGGGACTGAAGCTTGAAGCTTGCGTGGGGGGGGGGGGGGCGGCGGCTCGTCACTGGGCTTGCCCCATAGCATCCTGCCTCTTCCATGCAGACACTCAAGAAAAGCCTGACTTACTAGAATGGCAACCTCAGTTTCCAGACCCATGTATCTTCCAGTGTCAAGAAAAGATAGAGAAGTTGACTAGCCTTTGAAATAATTCTTTGGGGAAGAAAATACCTGATCTTTTTGCCACTTTCCATCATTTCAGAAGACAGATCCCATCACCTCATCCGAGACCAGTGCCCTAAAGAGGGAGGCCTGTGTAACATGCTAAGTCATGGCTCCCGTGAAGAGTCTCCCACCAAGAAGGGAGAAGAAATGTGTGGGAAATATCAGAAAGGGAGACAGAACAAAAAGACTCCTAACTCTGGGAAACGAACTAGGGGTGGTGGAAGGGGAAGAGGGCGGGGGGTGGGGGTGAATGGGTGACGGGCACTGAGGGGGACACTTGACGGGATGAGCACTGGGTGTTATTCTGTATGTTG